CAGCTGTGTTTGTTCTAATATAAAAATAATAACTCCCCCCCAGAAAATCTGTGGGTCAAATCAATCCCCAGGAAGAAAGGTACTGGGTTCCCTGCTTGTCTATAGCTACTCCTTGGGAAGTTGTGGACTGTTGTTTAAGAAGCAAGGACTTGTGTAAGTACAGAATTCTAAAGTTCTATGGCTTTCTAATAACTTCCTTTTTGCCTTCTCTTTCCAACCAACATTTTTGGTCTTAACAACATTGGGGACTGTTTAATGGCCATTTAAATCCTTATAACAAACAGGGAATTATGGCCTGGTTCCAGCACCATTCCCCATTCCCCATAGATGTTTCTCCTGATTTTCAATAGAACATGTAGGCTGTGACGTTCCCTAAGCTAAAGATTCTGCTTTAGCCTTTGCTTTTTCCAGGGACTCATCTGTAGTCACTTCCCAGTTATGGCCAAATTAGGTGGAGCCTAATTCTCTGAGTATTTCCTCATTACATCAAATCTACACATGCACTCACACACATATTGATTAATGCTTGGGATGAGAGGTTGCACTAAATGATGCTGAGAATGTAGTTACGAGGCACTCCACAGGAAGACAGAAGAGCGCATTGGTGGAAGGTAGACATGTGGAAGGTATGGTTAGGATTTTCTTATAGATATCAGATTTGGGGCTCGGCTACTTCAGGTCCATGGAGGAAGGAGTCAACTACGGCTGTCTGCTCGCTCTTCTTGGGTTTCTGCAGAGGTTCAGCTGCTACAGAACTCCCTTTACACCTACACCCTGTACTTTGGAGGGCTCCACTCTGCAACTCGGCCAGCCACATCCCTTGGCATGGCGAGGAGTTCGCAAGGCTGAGAGGATGTGCCCACTTGGAACCTGGGCCACCAGTACCCCCACTTCTTAACCATGCCTCGAGTACTGGGGATCCCTGGAATTCCCTCCCCAAACAGGCACCTTTCCTGCCCTTGATTCTAGGCCAGCTCCTTATCCCTCTGTGTCTGATGCAAAGAAGGCCGGTGGGTGGATGGGTTCCTTCCCTCCCTCCCTCGCTCCCTCCTTCCTTTCTTCCACAAGTATTTATTGAGCTCTTACTGCATGCAAGATGTGTAGGAAGGGCTCTGCTCACAGGGATGTGGGACAGGGTAGGGTCTGCTCTGTACTGCTTTCTCCCCTGGCCCAACAACCAGGGGAGCCACCCAACGCTGGCAGATCTGTGGGTTCCAGGGCCAGAAGTGTGCAGCACTGGGATGTGTTGCACCAAGGAGGCCCTATGTGACTTGTCATTCCTGGCTGTGGAGGAGGGGGTGTCTGCAAGGGCCCTGGGAGAAGCTTCTGAGCAGAATCAGCTCAGAGCTGGTTAGAAGTTGCAGACGCACCAGACCAGCACCAGAAGCATTGGACCACAGACCTGGGCAGCATTGTAGAGGCAGCCTGGAGGCAGAACGGTGCAGAGCTCAGGCAGGAGAAGAGGCTGCCGAGGAGGAGGAGGAGCAAGCTGGGAGGTGAAAGCAGGGGAGTGGGTGGGGCTGATCCTCCTCCCAGGGGGCTGGGGGTCGGGGCGGGTGCTGCACAGTGTCCAGTAAGATGGAGACTGAGGGGTCCTTTGCATGGAGAGCTAGGCGGGGTGGTGTGGGGCAGTGCATTTCACGGGAGCTCTGGGCATGGAAGCTGAGCAGTGGATGAGAAGTAGACACAGTGAGCATAAAAGCTTCTTAAAGGAAGTTTCTGGGACAGAGAAGAAGAGGGAGAGGAAGTAGTCAGAGCTCTGCAAGGGGCTTCCTGGGCCTTCCACGTGAATTCATCCATCCAGCCCGCTCTTCTCCCCTTTCCCCATTCTGCTGATTTCCCTGGAACTTTCTCTACAGAGTTCCCTTCAGCAGCAGTCACTTCTGGGGCACACTCGGGGTTGGGAGGGTGCTGCACTGGGACGGGGAACAGGAGCATGTGCGAGTTTTCTCTTGGACTTTGCACTGTGATCCACTCATGCTGATGAGCCACTGTGCCACTGATAGCTTAACGGTGGGCACTGTCTCGTGAGTTTACAGTGAATGACAGGTCAGGAGTTAGAACGTTTAGGCTAAGCTGCTTAGTCAAGTTGTTATCAAAAGGCACTAAAAGCCCTTATGCTTGGGTCTTACAAGCTTTCCAAAGGCCCAAGGCAATGATTCAGGCATGAAAAAGAATTAGACTCCAAAATACTGAAAGAAAACTGCAAAACAGGTGAGCGAATGGTGAAATATCTATTTCCACTCAGCTTTTCTGAAGCTATTTTGGATGAGGTGAGGTGGGGTGCAGGTGTGTGAACACGCTGGGTAAAGGGAGAGCGAGCATGCCTGCTCTTGAAAAGGGCCCGTTCGTTTTTCCGGGCATCAGCGCATCTCTGTCTGGTGAGGCTCTTTGCCACGTGCTCTGAGCTGTGATTTGCCCGGAGGAGGTGCAGGTGGTGCACGTGGCAACCAAACAGCTCGTGGTGCCAAGCTCTTTGTATTCATCACTCCCATGGCTTGATTTCCTGAAAGCATTCTGTCCCCAAAGACTGTGGAACGTGGACCTTTTAAACATTTGACTCCTTTTCATGAGCATTCAGAACCTTTGGCACCTCTCGAGATGCTAGCGGTGACCTTGGCCTCTTCACTCCGGCCTCACCTGCATGTTCTCTTCCCTCCCCAGCTGGACACGCCCCTTAAAGAAGGTGACTCCCTTCTGAGAAGCAAGATCCCTTCCTACAAGGAAAGACCTTGTCCGAAGTAAGGGGGCTGGGTCACCCCAGGTCCCTCCAGCCTTCTCTCGTAACAGCTGAAGTCCTCCACCCTCAGCTCCAGGGAACCTGGGATGTCTGCCATTGTATGCGAAAATATTTTATATTCATTGGCATTTGTGGCAAAGAAATTTGGGGCAGCTCTGGTTTTACCATATTTTTGAAGGAGTCTGCCACCACGGTAGGAGCAACTGCCCACCCACTGTCCAGGGTCCCCTTAGCTGTGTGACAACTATGACCTGTGAAACGATGGTTCCCAATGCGGTGTTGGAACTCTCTCCAATTCCAGCACATTCAAATTCTTGGTTTTTTCTGGAGACAGGACTGCCTAGTGGTGCTGTGGGTGACGTCCCCAAGCCTCTCTTCCAAGTTCTCTGCGGGGACCCAAACCTTCCCTCCTGATCTGGACCTGGCCCTCCCTGGCCCCCACCTCAGTGACTCAGGCCCAGACAGTCACGCTTCACCCTCTGTCCCTAAGTGTCCTCAGATGTGCCCTGACTGCCAGCCTTTCATGGCTGGGGACCCACCCCACATCCTCTCTCTTGCCTACAGTTTATGTCCCACACAGATGCCAAAATGTCTATGAAAAATGAAACTCTAACCACACCCACCCCATGACTTAAAACCTTTCTGCTACATGCAAGTTACAGTCCCAGCTCCTCCCCAAGACTCCTCATGTCACGGACACTGTTAGCCTCTCGGCGGCACCTCTCGGCACCCGCCTTTGGTTCGTGCCCCAGACTGTGATGTGACTTCATCCGCTCCTCCTGCCCTCCAGGCTGAGTCAGGGTCCCATCTTCCCTCCTGTCCTCCTGTCCCGGGCACAGCTCTTCCCGGGGACACTCCCACATCACAGTATAACCTAGGGGACGCACCCACTTTCCCTGTGGCTGCTGAGCGTCTGGAGCCAGGCCGTGGGTGGTTGTTCCCACTTTTGTTTCCAGGGCCGAGGGCAGATGCAGGTGTGTAGGAGATGTGCAACATGCAGTTGCTGACTGCAGCCGTGAGACAATGCAGAGCGACTGCATAGCTGAGAACCTTTTACCAGAATTTATATTTGTCATCAGAGCATGGGGAGATTTATAGGAGCTAGCATTTGAGAGTGACCATTTGGCAGACAGTGTTCTAAGCCCTTTCCATGTAGCAAGTCATTTCATCCTCATAACAATTGCCAGTGACATACTGTACCATGGTCTACATTTTGTCAAATGAGGAAACTGAGGCAGGAAGGCTGAGCTTTTCTCCAACATGCTATCTCTGTTGAGGGACTTCCTGACTTGGACAACTTTTCAACTACGAGCACTATGAAGGCCAGTCAGGGTTGGTGGAAATTTCTGTGTTTTTTGAGGGCATGATGGAGTTTGTGTTGGGTTGTGTTGAGCTGTGTATGGATTAATCTTGGGTGCATCCTTTTCCTCCTTTCCTTCTGATGTCCTCACTGCCTTAGGTCATGTGACCCTTAATGCCCACCTCAAGGCTCAGTGCTGACCCCTTGCCCCAGGGTCCCAGACACTGACATGAATTCATATAGGCCACTGCTGAGGGGAAGGGGTCACTCCCACCTCCTTGTTCCTTCCCTGAGCAGTTCTGGGGCAGAAGTGAAACCTGGGCCCATGGACTTGTCCCCCTTTTTCATACTCTGTTAGAGAAGGAAGGCATCTGAGGTCATCCGACTCATTGCTGCCTTGTGCAGGTGAGGAAACTGAGGCCCAGGCAGGAGTCATGTCTGAGATCACCCTGCCTTGTGGTGGCAGGCCACCAGCCTTGGACCGGTGATGATTAAACATAGTCCGTACCCAATTAACTTGGAATTATGTCTCGAGACACTCTCTGTATAAACTTCAGTCTGGCATCTGCCACTTCTTGTCCTCGGCCTGATTAATAATCAGACAAGCCAGATCTCGTAACTAAATGAACTAACAGCTGGCAGTGTTCAGCCGATTTCATAAGGTCCCTACTTTGTTGTTGATGAGCTAACCTGAGGAACTGATTGGCCTGGAACTAGTAATTGAGGAGCATTTTAACCCTTTATTTTTGTTATCTTTAGCATAAAGACTTGCAACACACTTCCTTGCAGTCACAAAAAGAGGTAATAAGTCAGTTGGCAAGTCTTCAAAGGCTTCTATTTTATTTTATCATCTGAATATAGTTTAGAGGTAAATGTGGTAATAATACAACTAATCTGGGCTAATTTGGGAGGGGGCCAATTTATGTGAATGAAGCATCAGAATTACAGGATATTGAAGGAATGCAGTTTGACCGCTCTGAGGTAGGTTTTAAGGCTTGAGCCGGGCTTAGGGATAATCGTCCTGATACTGGAGGTGAAGTGGAGAGACTACGAGTGAGTGTGTCTCACATGCTTAGAAAATCTTTTATTTTTCTGTATTTGTTTAAAAAGCACATTGTAACATCTTTTATACCTTTTAATATAACTCCTTAAATAGCACATTTTCCAGCTAATATTCAAATGAGTGCATGTTATTAGAGTCTATGTTATATTAAAATATTTTGTGTTTGCATATCTACTTTCTTAGAACTAGAGATAAGAATATAGGTAAATTTGGGCCGGCCCGGTGGTGCACTGCTACAGTCCGCCGCTTGGGAGCTCGGCGGCGCTCCCGCCGAGGGTTCAGATCCCACATACAGACCGGTTCCCGCTCACTGGCTGAGCGAGGCGCGGGGGCAACACCGAGGGTTGCGATCCCGTTGCCGGTCCCGGTCTGGTACAGGCGCGACACTGAGGGTTGCGATCCGTTGCCGGACACGAAAAAAGACAAAAAAAAAAAAAAGAATATAGGTAAATTTAATCTCCTGTAAAAATTAAAAGGCAGATTTTTTTTCAAAGCATGGAATTACATGGTGTACTCTGGACATTGCCCCCCAAGGTCAAGTGTGGGGCTGGGGGGAGACACCTATGTCTTGAGTTCATTTTTTAATTCATTCCATGAGACTGTATTAAGGGCCTCTATATTTCAAGCATTGTGCTGGATCCATGGGTGCAGAGATGAGTTCCTGCCCTCCTGAGGTTTCCTGTCCTGGGGTAGCTACAGGAAAAGGTGCTCGGGGCTATGGCAGGATGCACACAGGTTGCTGGGGGTCCAGGGGAGGAAGCCAGGCAAGGGGTTTGGGAGGTCCTGGGGCAGAACCTGTATGCTTTGTTAGGGAGTTTGAATTATTCCCTGGCCCACTGGGGAGCCAATGAAGGTGTTTTGAGTAGATCATTTGGTAATGGTTTGTAGGATCTCTGGACTGATTGGAAGATGTAAATCCATGAGCAGAGAGACCAATAGGAGCCTTTTGCCATAATGAATGCAGGAAAGAGCTGGAGATTGCTTGAGCTAAACCGGCCTCGACAGTGGCTGGGAGTGAACTGGGTGGCCTTGACGATGATCTAAGGAGACAGACTGGCCAGGGCTCAGGGAGAGAGCAGCTCTGCGGGGTGGCGGTCTTGGGGTCATCGATCCCATGTCTCTTGTTGGGCAGGTGCCACATAGATTTGTAGCAGTGCTGTGCCCGTCACTGCAGTGAGGAGCATGGGGGAACGTAAGTTTGGTGGAGCGAGAATGAATTTGGCTTTTGGTGCCTATTGACTTTGAGGTACTAGGTGCCCTTGCGTGGATTTGTGCAGAAGTTAGCTGGAGATACGGGACTGGAACTTATATGTCATTGTGAGGTCCCCATTCAGAAACGTGTAACAGGAACATTCAGAAAGAAAAAGAGGCTATATTGAACATTAACTTTATTTGGGCTTGAGAGGTCAGAAAGGCAGGCAAAATCGAGGGATGTGTGTATGTGTCTGTGTGTGTGTGTGTTTCTCTTTCACATTTGATACTATTTTAGTGACTGTTGTAGATAAAGGGATGGGTATGCACTTCTTCTAGACTTGCTGTATTGGGCAAGTTGCTAATCTGATTCCACCCTTGCCATGTGTGTGGACAAAACCTTATGTAAATAAAATAAGAAGTCATCAGGACCTCAGTTAATATGGAGCCCTATCACTGACCAATGCCTGTTGTAGCTGATGCTTTGTTGATGTGGCCTTTTAAACCACTCAGAGGGGCTGTGATGTTTTCTCCTTTTTCTTTTGTCATAAGATTAATACATGCTCATTGTAGACATTTTAGAAAGTATAGAAAGCCCCAGAGAAGGGAAAACCACCCAACCACAAGGACCAATCCAATTTTAATATATTATTATGATTTCTTTCAGTCTTTTGGGGTGCGTTTCTCTACCATATTGTACAAACAGTTTAGCGTCTTGCATTATAAAATGAAGGCATGACCTTTGAGCTGACCTCGAAGTATGTGTGGACTTTTGCAAGTGGTTCCTTGCAGCAGGGTATATTCCAGGAGGGGAACAGACTGGCACAAGCAGAGGGAAGATGATCTGGGGTCTAGTGAATAGTCTACCTTGGATGGAGACTAGATTTGGGGGGAATTCAAGTGACGTATATTGGAGCAGATGATGGAAGTTTTTTTTAATCTTAAGTTGTTGAGTTTATCCCCAATTCTGTGAAAAATCTTCATCCCTCCCCTTCCCTCCATTTTCTTACCAGAAGCCAAACGCAATAATATTAGTGATGCCACCGACTAATCCATCAGTGTGGCTTTGGGTGGGGCACAGGGACAGGTGGGGTGTCACTGTTTTTTATTTTAGAGATTTGCTGGATAGTAACATTTTTTTTTGTCTTGTTTCTGTTCCTCTATTTTTCTAGGAGAATATGAAAGTGTTACTCAGACTTGTTTGTTTCATAGCTCTGCTGATTTCTTGTCTGGAGGCTGGTAAGTGAAGCATTTCCTTGTGTTCTTATCTAAGAAAATCTGGGCTTTGGAATACATGAAGTACCTCCCCTAGTAGAGGCATTTTTCTTACCTGTTTCTGTTGAATCCCAGGACACAGAGCCTTCTGGTTGGTGAACTGAACTGCTGGAAGTTCCTCTCGGCCTCTTTACCTCTTATTCTTTCACTTACAGATTGAGAAACTGAGGCCCTGTGAGGTTAAGGGCCCAGAAGTCACGTAGTTAGTTTTGGATCAAGAGCTAAAATCTAGGTCTCCAATGTCTAGTTCAGGCCTCTTCCCACTTGGTTGTTGATGAAGAATGTGATGCGGAAAATCCTGGCTTTCATTTTGAAAAGGTGTTATTACCCGTACTCGTTATGAACCCACACCTCGAAACCATGAAGAGGCAGTTTTTGTTTTCTCTTGCTATTCTTCATTTTCTCTTTTCCCTTTTCCTCCCTTACTACAAATTTATTGAGCCCTTACTGTGTGCCAGTTACTAGCTTCTGGGAACATAGCAGTGAATAATCCAGAGAGAAGTGCCTGCCTGCGTGGGGTTATATCTCACAGAGGGGAGAAGCAATGCATTAGATAAGCAAATATATTTTATGTCACATGATGATAAGTGTAGGGAGAAATAAACAGGAATGGAGGGTATAAAGTTCTGGGATTAGAATGGGCAGAAGGTTAAATTTCTGATAGTGTGGCCAGGAAAGGCCTCACCGAGAAATTGACTTTTGAGCTGAATCTGGAGGAGGAGGAGGGAGTGGGGAGCTATACAGACACCAGGTGGGAGGGCAGAAGTATCTAGGCTGTGTGTGTGAAGACCCCAAGGCCAAGAGTACCTGGCATATTCCAGGAACTAAACTATCAGTGTGCCTGGAGCATAGTGAGAGGTGAGGGAAGTCGTAAAGAGCAAGGTTATTTGGATATGCGGGGATGGTGGAGGGTTGATTGTGTAGAACCTTCCAGACCTTTCTAAGGATCTTGCTATTGTAAATCTTTTAAATTTTAATCCTTCCAATAGGTGTATAGTGGCATCTGATTGTGGTTTTAGTTTGAATTTTGCTAATGATATTGAGCTTCTTTTCATGTGCCTATTTGCTATCCATATATGTTTGGCGAAATTTCTAAATCTTTTACTCATTTTTTATTGGGTTATTTGCTTTCTTATTGTTGAGTTTTGAGGATTCTTTATACATTCTAAATAGAAGACCTTTATCATATATGTGTGTATTAGTCCATTTTGTGTTGCTATAACAGAATACCTGAGACTGGGTAATTTATAAAGGAAGATATTTATTTGGTTCACGATTCTGGTGGCTGGAAGTCCAATATGGGGCAGCTGCATGTGGTGAGGGCCTCAGGCTGCTTTCAGTCATGGTGGAAAGTGGAAGGAGACCCAACGTGTGCAAGGAGATCACATGCCAAGAGAGAAAGCAAGAGAAGGAGATGGAGGAGGGTGCCAGGGTGCTCTTATAACAACCAGCTCTCAAGGGTGCTGAGAGAGCAAGAACTCAGCCACCCCTGAGGGAGGTCATTTATCATTCATGAGAGATTTGCTCCCATGATACAAACAGCTCCCACTAGGCCCCACCTCCCAAAACTGCCACATTGAGGATCAAATTCCAAAGTGAGTTTTGGAGGGGCAAACATCCAAACCATAGCAATGTGATTTGTAAATATTTTCTCTCAGAATGTGGTTTCTCTTTTCATTTGCTTCTGGTGTCTTTCAAAAAATAAAATGCTTAATTTTCATGAAGTCCAATTTATTCTTTTTTATTTCTTTTATGGATTGTGCTTTTGGTATTAAATCTAAAAAATCTTTGCCTGATTGTAGGCCACAAAAATTTTCTCCTGTTTCCCTCTAGATGATTTATAGTTTTAAATTTTGCATGTGGTTCTATGACTCCTTTTGATTGACTTATAGACATTGTTCTATGGAGTTATTTTTTTTAAATCGTATAGGAAAAAAAGAGAAGTTACAAGCCAAAAATACTTATTTTTCAAAAAAAATATATTTACCTGTATAGTTTCCTTTACTGGTGTTTCTTATTTCTTTATGTGGATTCAAGTTACTGTCTAGGTTCTTTTATTTCAGCCTGAAGAATCCCTTTAACATTTTTTGTAAGGCAGATCTGTTCATTATGAATTCTCTTAGCTAATGTTCATCTGTGAATGTCTTCACTTATCTTTCATTTTTGAAGGACAGTTTTGCCAGGTATGGAATTCTTGGTTGACAGGTTTTGTGGGTTGTTGTTGTTGTTGTTGTTTTTTCAGCCTTTTGAATATGTCATCCCACTGCCTTCTGGCCTCTGTGGGTTCTGGGAGCCAACTGTTAATCTGAATGAGGCATATATCTCTTACTGCGTTCAGTACACACTCTTTGTCTTTCTGTATTTTGACTATGGTGAATCTAGGTGTATATCTCATTTAGTGTGTCCTACTTGTAATTCTTTGAGCTTCTTGGATATGTAGATTAATGTTTTTCATCAAATTTGGGAAATATTTGGCCATTATTTTTTCTAATATTTTTTCTGACCCTTTCTTTTTCTCTTCTCCTTCTGAGACTCCTCTATGCACATGTTGGCATGCATGATGAAACCACACAAGTCTTTGAGGCTGTTTAATTTTCTTGGTTTTTTTTCAGATTGGATAATCTTCTAATAATAAGTTGACTTATCTTAAAGTTTACCAATTCTTTCCTTTCCTAGCTCAAATATGCTGTTGATACCCTTTAATTAATTTTTCATTTTAGTTATTGGATTTTTCTACTTCATGATGTCTACTTGGTTTCTTTGGTGATTTCTTCTTATTGGTATTCTCTACTTCATGAGGAATTGTTGTCATACTTTCCTTTAATTCTTTGGACTTAGTTTTCTTTAGTTCTTTAAAGCTGATTTAAGGACTTTATTTAGTAAGTCTAACATTGGACCCCTCTGGGACAGTTCATATTGGCAGGTTTTTCCCCTGTGTATGAATCATATTTTCTTGTTTCTTTGCATGTTTTGTAAGATTTTCTTGAAAATTGGACATTTTAGGTAGTATAATGTTGCAACTCTAGAAATCAGATGCTCCACCCAACACACACAAGGTCTTCTATTATTACTAATTTTTTATTGTGGTGGTTGTTGCTGCTGCTTCTGTTTATTTGTTTAATGACTTTCCTGGGCTAATCCTGTAAAGTCTGTATTTTCTGTAGTGTATGGCCACTGAAGTCACTGCTTTGATAATTTAATGGTCAGCTAATGATTAGCCAGAGATTTCCTTAAATTCCTTGACCCAATAAGTTTTCTACCCTTTGATGAGGGACTCTGTGTGTCTTGGGCATGCCTTCAACACTTAGGCTGTTTACAACTCTACCTTAGCCTTCACTTCCTGCTTGTGTATGACCTAGAATCATTCAGAAGTGAGAGACTGGTGACTTCTCTGCTCTTTTCTGGGGATATGCACATCCCTGTATACATGTGCACCATTCTAAATTACCTAGGAATGTGTCAGAGCTTTTTAAAGCCCCTTATAGGCTATGGCTCTCATTTGCCCCAACTGGTATGGTAGCCTCAGACAGCTGTAATGTTCAACAATTGATACTGAGTTTTTCAACAAATACTCTGGGGATAGGGCTTTTCCTGTGGAGCCCTTAGTCAGGTCAATAACAACACCACCCTATGAATGAGACTTCCAGGAACCACAGATCAGGTCAAAGAGTGGCAATTATCTGGGAATGGGACTTTTTGAGGAGCTTCAAACCTGGTCTGTTCTTGCAAGCCTGCTGCCTTTCACGAAGCCTACTGTGTTTGCAAAGCTACTAGTTTTCATGGGTATCGTGGAGCTGGGAAGAGGGGGATGGAAGTAGTTTAAATTACAAAGCCACAAAACCTGCTTTTAAGGAGGTATGATTTATGGAGACACTCACTCCACCATTTTGGAAATCCTGCCTCCAAAGTTCTTTTGTGAACAGGGATATCCAATTTGTTGAAAAGCCTGTCTTTTCTCTACTGAATTTCTCTTGTACCTTTGTCAAAAATAAGTTGAATATATTTGTGAAACTTATTTCTGGAATTTCTATTCTGTTCTAGTGACCTACTTATCTTTATGCAAATACTATACTTTCTTAATTGCTTTAGCTTTATAATTAGTCTTGAAATAAGGCAAATTAACTCCTCCAACTTTTTTTTAATCAAAGTTGTTTTAGGTAATTCTATATAAATTTTAGAATCAGCTTGTTAATTTGTGCGAAAAACCCTGATCAGATTTTGATTGGGATTGAAGTGAATTTAAATAAATTTGGAGAGAACTGAAATCTCAACAGTATCATGTTTGATCCATGAACAGAGTATAAGCAGTCTTCAAAAAGTTCATGGAAAGATTCATATTTTTTAATTCTATTTTTCCAAAAAAAATTTTTGAAGTCTCCGTATTTAAATCTTGTTTAGTTTGTTGAAGTAACATTTTGTAGTTATCATTGTATTGGAATTACATATCATTTGTCAGATTTATCCTTAATTTTTTATATATTTTGATGCTATTGTAAATTATTTTCCTCTTAACAATTCAATTATTATTAGTAGTAGTATTTATTTGCTTTTTTATTGTTGTTTTCTTCTCTTTTTTAAGTCCCACATATGATTGAGAACATGTGGTATTTCTGTGCCTGGCTTATTTCACTTAACATAACTTTCTCCACATTCATCCATGTTGCTACATGGATTGTTTTCTTTGCTGTGCAGAAGATTTTTAGTTTGATAAAATCCGACTTGTTTATTTTCACTTTTGTTGCCTGTGCTTTTGAGATCTTATTCATAAAATCTTTATCTAGTTCTATGTCCTGGAGCATTTCCCCTGTGTTTTCTTCTAACGGTTTTATAGTTTAAGTCTTACATTTAAGCCTTTAATTCATTTTTAGTTTATTTTTGTATATGGTGAGAGATAGGGGTTTAGTTTCATTCTTCTACACTTGAATGTCCAGTTTTCCTAGCACCATTTGTTGAGGAGGCTGTAT